TGGCCCCTGGGGGGGGGGGGGGGGGGGGGGGGGGGTGAGTGGGGTGGTACAGCTGGCCCCTGGGGGGGGGGGGAGTGGGTCGGTGTGGTACCGTGTTTTTGTTTTTGTTTTTACGTCAGTGGGAATGTGGTTCACTCCACATTAAATGTATGTAATTGCAAGGGGTGCTGGAGATGGATCTATTGTTGCCTGGGGGCTAGTACTGCTGGGAGGGATCTACTGTTGGAGGGGTCTATTGCTTCTGGAGAATCTATTAATGCTGGCTGTTGGGAGTGTATTGTTCCTAGGGTGGATCTATTGCTAGCTGCAGGGGATCTATTTTACTGCATTTCTTTTCAGTAGTAAATTGCATACAAATGACTTGGCCCCACCAAATACGTGGTTCTGTATTCTCTAAAATGAGCTGTGCTGGGAGGGGGTTTGGAACCAAGGAACAGTGCTCAAAGGTGGGTAGGGGGTGGGCACACAGGGTGATTACAGAAGTTCCTGCACCTATTGGCACAGCCCTGTATAGCACTGATATCACCTATGTGGAGTGGATGGTGTAGCCATTTGATCATGCACTGTGTTGGTAGATGTTTGGGCTGACATGGGGTTGAATGGACAAATGTCACCAAGCCTGGGGCTCCGCCCTCCTCTGCACTGGGGGAATATCTGCTCTCCAGTCACCAGTTTTGTTGGCCATGATCATGTGTTATCTGCACTTGGTGAATGCTGGCCATGGTACCTGTCTGCTGGCCACAAGTTGCACAGACCACAGCACTGTTTACAATATACAGCTGATTCAGTATATAGATGAAGAAAATGGTTTGGGCCACCTTGACCCAAACTAATTTAAGAAAAGAAAAAGCAGCTGATGGACTTTTTCCAGGACTTGCTGACACAGGAAACTCATTCCCAAAATCAACATATCCACATTTTCTAGAATGAGGCAGAGAGTGGGGAAAGATGTATAGTGCCAATTTTAGGAAGGACACTTCAGTGGCCCTGTGTTGTGCTCTGTGTCCTGATTAAACCCAGAACCCTCATTCGCTGTATCTGGCCTCCTGCAGAACATGAAAGTGCAGCTTTTATTTATTTATTTATTTATTTTTTTAGTAAATGGTAAGCTGCTAAATACCTTTTTCTCATCAGCAGTTAGAGCAGTCTTGTGACTTCTATCAGTGTCCAGCAGAGCACTGGTTAAAGCTTGTAGCTGTTCATTTTGCTCTAGGAGGATGCAGAACCCCTGACCCTCTGTCTGGACAGTGATTGGCATTGTGCTGATCACATGCACTCTCCCAAAGAAAGAAACACAACTCAGTAGCAGTACATGGCAAACTGTGCAGAGTGGCTCCACACATCTTATCAGGAGATAGAGGGGGGAGACACTGGAAGAAGGGGAGGATCAGAGAAGACAGGATCAACAGCGGTTTTACACAATGCAGAGGATTAACCCCTTAGGTTCCACAGTGCGTGCTTTACTGCATATACAGACTGACTTTACTGTAGTAGGTCTTGTAGCACTTTAACGACTTTAAGTCAGAACACTTTTACCCCCTTCCTGTCCAGGCCAATTTTCAGCTTTCAGCGCTATCACACTTTGACAATTGTGCGGTCATGCAACACTACCCATGTGAATTTTTTTGAGGCACATAAAACTTTATTTTGGTGGTAGTCATTCACCACAGGGATTATTTTTTTGCTATATAAATGAAAGTCCAAACATTTTGAAGTTTTTTTTTTTCTTGTAACATTTAGCAAATCTGTCTTCATAAATCTTGGCCAAAATGTATTCATCTATCTTTTTAGTAAAAAAAAAAAAAAAAAACAGAAGTGACATCTTGCTTATTCATGTGATCACTGATTGGCTAATCAGTGATCGGGACCTCACACAGAGGTCTCGTACAGCGATCAGCGTTCCTGCTGTATTCTCCTTTTACAGCGGGCACCGGATCACAGTGCAGCGTGCTCCCAGGGAGGGCACACAGGCAGGGAAGCGGGGAGGGCATTTATAAACGGCCACCCTCTCCTGCAATGCTCCCATTCGGCTGTTTTATATACATGGGCCGGACGGGAAATGGTCAAGGTTGGGAAACATAAGTTTCCTTTCTGACTTTAGCACAGATGGAGTATTTGCTGGATAGCATTAATGGGTAACAAATTGCTTTTCCCTTTTTTGTCTAGAATAGCAGTTTATTAAATCTGCTGTTCACTGATTATTTTTTATTTTTTTTTCTGTTAAAGCCAAACTGGTCTATTTTTTTTTTTTGTGACAAAAGGCCAGACTGTACTTATTAATTTTTTTTTTTTTTTTTTTTTTTTTTTCCCCCACCCTCCCATAAGTAGGAGAGGAAGGTATAGCTTCTGACTTTGCTGGCCTTTATTTAAAAACTCTGCCAGTAACAGATTGCATATGCTTGTAATGTTTATAACTCTTGCATAACCTACATAATCTTATTTGAAATAGTTTCCATAATACCTTCTATAACATTTATATTAGGAGATCCTGTTCTTGTCTTCATGGTTTTACTTGCTAAATCGGACATGTAGTTAATTTTCCTCCAGGCAAGTACACACAGGTCCAGCTTAAAGTGAAATGGTGGGGGTGACCAGGAGGGATCTGAATGATCTCATATTCAGAAAGTTTAATTGAAATGTTCTTAATTGCTTGGCAACTGTTGGAATTCATTTGTGTTTTAAAATAAAAGTCTAGATGGGATTAACAGATTAAAGAACAAATCCACCATGATTGGTTTTAGTTTGTGACTCTTGATGGTTCTGCCTCTCCATATGTATAATAAAGGAAAACCCATCCAGGGAAAAGAGTTCTTTAACAGATGGGTAACAATGCAGTGCAGCCTGTTGCACTGAAGTACTATCTGGCCAAGGAACTGGAGAACAAGTGGTCAAGGATCATTCCATTTCAGCGTGCTTTGAACTATCATAGATCTAGATTAGCAGGATCCATGTGGTCATACAGGGCATCTGTAGATGTTGTGCTATGGTACCTGGCTATCTGTTAATTCCAAGAAATTTTCTGTTCATATAGAACAGAAATCTGAACCAACATGAGAAGACCTGTACTTGCCATTGCTGAGATTACAATGATCCCAACTCTCTTCTAGACTTGTGCATTGTTGAAAAGACTTGAACTTCCTCCCCCAAAACACATACCTGACTCCTCATTGCTCCAGTGTTGTCCTATCTGCAGTACCACTTTTCCCTCTTCTGGTCTCACAGGAGTGGGATCAATAGGCTCCTGCTACGGTTGGTCAAATCTGTGGAAGAGGGGGGGTGTGGCTGAGTTTACTGCCTCTTTGGACCGCCAGAGGCAGTAAGCCACTGCCCTGTGCAATATGGTTGCACAGGGCAGGTAAGTATAACATCTTTATTTTAATTGAAATATATTCTAAACTCACCAGCCACTCTAAAGGTACACTTTGCCAGTACCGGGTTGGACCCCCTTTTACCTTCAAAACTGCCTTAATTCTTCATGGTATGGATTCAACAAGGTGTTGGCAACATTCCTCAGATTTTGTTCCGTATTGACATGAGTTACTGTTGCCTATCTGTCATCTCAAACCAATCTGCCCATTATCCTCTGACATTAACAAGGCAATTAGGACCACACAACTGCCACTCACTGGATATTTTCTCTTTTCGGACCATTCCCTGTAAACCCTAGAGATGGTTATGCGTGACACTCCCAGTAGATCAGCAGGGGTTTTTTTTTGTTTTGTTTTTTAAATACTCAGACCAGCTCGTCTAGCACAGACAACCATGTCATGTTCAAAGTCCCTTAAATCCCCTTCCCCATTCTGCATTGCTTGTGATGTTTGAAATATAGGCAGTACATGTGATGGTAAAGGATCCAGGCAGTACTTGAGTGTCTGTCTGATTTTCCAGCAGGATTGAACCAGTCTGCTGCAGTCTATACTTCAAAGTCAGCCATTCTCAACCAGGATTCCATGGAACCTCCCATTTGATTGTGCCTGCATTGTTCTGGGGACCAATACAACTTGGCAGAGTCAACAAGTTGACACATGCAATCATCTTAGCAGTCTGTGTAAGGGTGGCATTTTTACCAAAATGTAGGGTGTTTTTCCCACTGATCCCTGATGAATTGGTTTTAGAAGAGGTGCCCCAAGACCTGAAAATTATTTCAAAGTTTCCTTTAGGGAAAAGTTGTGACAGGCTGATTGATCCAACTGATCGATTTAACTGTATTTGTCTTAGTAAAATATTGGGGACTAAACTTGGTGGTTTCAGTATAGTGGCTACATTGGACTTCCTCTTGCATCAAGGGGAGATCTGCGTGCCTGTTAATGTTGAATTCTGTTGTAGCTCTACCTCTTTGCTTCCTTTTTTTGAGTAAATTTGGACACAACAGTCACCCAGCAAAGGCAAACAGGCAAGGTAACTGGGAGCTTGTTTTGCTGTGTGAAAGACCTAGTAGTAATGTTAATTGTTTTATTGGTCCTGCTCCATTATAGGAAATGACCCAGTTTTTATGGCACTCATCTTGTTCAATTCTGGGATTTGCCTATTGGCATATTACTTGAGCCAAATGGTTTAATACAGGAAGTATACACCCAATGTAACTTGGCTAAGGTGTCCCTAAATTGCCTATATAAGGTTTTGGGACATTGTGTGAGTTCATGTTGAGCATAGTGAGGTGTCTTGTACATATCCTTCTGTGTTTTTTGTCCTTTAGCTCACATTTTGGTTTTCTTGTTCGTTTTACAGAATGAAGAGTCTGCCTGCTTCTTTTTGTGCACCATGGAATTTTTCTCAACTCTAACCCACCAGAGCCAAAGGAACTCTAGAAAGTCAATTTCCATACGCAGTAAATAGCAAAGACTTTAGTCCGAGACACTCGGCCATACTCTGTTTACTGCATATTTAATTTTTATAGTAATTTATTGAATTATTTTCATACCTCACTTTTTCTGTTTACATATTAAGTATTTTATTAGATTTATTTTTTTTTATTTGATCATTGAGCCAAAAGAGTAAATATGGAATCAACAACCATTTTTAGTGTCGTTACCAGTGCAGTTAGCTTACCAGCTGAGAGTGACTACCTTTGGATGCTTGTGTTGGGCTTTGTCATAGCCTTTGTGCTAGCTTTCTCAGTTGGTGCCAATGATGTAGCAAACTCTTTTGGCACGGCTGTAGGCTCTGGTGTGGTAACCCTTCGACAAGCTTGTATCTTGGCATCCATCTTTGAAACTGTGGGCTCTGTTTTACTGGGCGCGAAAGTAAGCGAAACCATCCGGAAAGGCCTGATTGATGTCAATATGTACAACTCTACACAGCAGCTGCTAATGGCTGGATCCATCAGTTCTATGTTTGGTGAGTAAGACTTAACTTTTATTTGCTTGACTTTCAACTTGTATTATTTACATGTAACTTCTGACACACATCACTTTGAGTTGATTATCTTCTAACATGCAATTGAAAAATGTGATGGCAACCTTTTGACTTTTGTTTTTCCAATGTCTTGCAGGTTCTGCTGTGTGGCAACTTGTTGCTTCCTTCCTAAAGCTACCGATCTCTGGAACACACTGCATTGTAGGAGCCACCATTGGCTTCTCCCTGGTAGCTAAAGGACAGGAAGGTGTTAAATGGTCTGAGCTGCTTCGTATTGGTAAGTTGTGTGTGTTTTTTTTTTTTTTTTTTTTTTGCCCCCACAGTTAAACTCAGCCAGGTAAACATAACGGCAAAGCAACTAGCATTTTTAGAGAAGTCAGAAACGGCAACCTCATTACTCTCAGGTGTGGCTTTGTGGCTGAATTTCATCTGCTATTGCATTGTTTACTGGCCACTAAGTCACAGTCATTGGATAGTATTGGCTTTGATTTGTACAACACTGTGTGTGTGTGTGTGTGTGTGTATTCTCTCTAATATGCAGTGGCATCCGAATCGCATAGTACGTCTGTATGGGAAATATTCACGCCAGCCTGACCTACTTTTTTTTTTTTTTTTTTTTTTTTTTTTTTTTCGACAGTCTAGGTGGTTGGAGCAGGTACCAATCGGTGCAGAAAGTCCAACCCACCTTTACACGCAGCCTCTTAGTACACATCACATGGCCCAAGAAACTGCTTGGCCATTTACTGGACATGGCTTGCGAATGTGCAATGGACGGCCGACTGCGAATCCGCAAGGAGTCACAGTTGGCTGTCCAGTTAAGTTGCAGGGACCTAGTTGTTTTTGTTTACAGGGTGAAGAACTCTTTAATGGGAAGATATTGCCTCACTTTCCATTTAGCAACCTTCAAGAAAAATGGAAATAACCCTTCGTTGTTGTGTTGGTTTTTTTTTTTTGGTTTTTTTTTCTATTTCTTCAAAGTTTTTTAAGGGTTCACGAAAGCTTTTCCCCTGACTTAAAACAGGGCTGTGACCAGTTGCTCAGGCATCACTGCCAGCAGGGGATGCTGTAGGAGTGTTCTTAAATCCTTGAGGGCTGAAACAACTTTGCAATGGAGTCTGGTGTGGTAAAGCATGCTTTACTGTAACACAATTTCTGTACCTTGCAGTACAATTATCAGTGGTAACTCAGCTTACAAGGACAATGCAGCTCCAACAGGCATACATTTTTTTTTTTTTCCCCTAGTGGGCTGCCATAATGCAGCATGTTAAAACCTGATGCAGTGCTCAGGTACGTGTCCCGGTCCAGACAGTGTGCATTTGGGGACATACACCTGCATGGCTGTCAAATTGGGAACAGCTGACACGTCTGTTCAGTTTCTGCATCCCAATAGACACAAGTAAGACTGCCTGCATGCGACTGCACAGAACACCTGTGCACCACATGTGGGTTAAGTTGCCCCTTTGTAGAGGTGCACAGTTAGGCCTGTGAGAGTGAATGTGCAGTATAAAAGAAGTGTGTTACGTGGAGGGGTGTCTTGTAGAATCCTTTTGGAGGGCAGCCATATATAATGGCCGATTTTGGCCAAAACTATGAAGTATTCAGTTTGTTTGACATTATTCAGTATGTGCACAAGGAATGGTGGTTTGGTTTTGGAGATGCCTGTTCTCCATGCTGGGACAACTATTGCTAGATCTGTTCACATCGGTTTAATAGCTATAGTGCTGTCTGACTCTTGTCATGAAAACCCACCCACTCAAATTTCTATCTTTATCGCTATAAGTAATCATAAATGCATTGATATAATAGCTCCATTTCATGAGTTTTTTGCTTCAGCATTCTGAACTGATGCAAATGAGAAACCTCTGCTTCCCCAGTGTAGCTTGAACCCTTCACATGTTACTATTGCATTTTTTACAAAAGCATTTATTGATTTTATATTCCTTCTCCTCCTAGTGTTGTCCTGGTTCATTTCTCCGCTGCTATCTGGAATCATGTCTGCTCTTCTCTTCTTCCTTGTCAGAATGTTCATCTTGCGCAAGGTAAGAATTCTGTAGTTTTACTGCCTGGAGCCAGTCATCCCAGTTGTGCACATTTGTATACTAGCAAGTTTGGAGATGTTATCAGTCTGCCATATAGATGACTGTCCCTTGATGAAGTTCCATTTTAAAAAAAAGAAAAGAAATGCACATCTCTCTGCAGTTAAAAAGTACATTATTTTTATTGGGAGCTTATAAAGCATTGCACTGATGATCACCAAATCACAGATGCAATGCAGGGCTCTTGCAGACATGGTGTAAGCTGTCTGCTCATGCTTCGTGTGGGCAGGCAGTTGCGCACTGACAGGAAGAATCCGTGAACTACCACAGCAACCTGGTAGTTCATTGAGATCTACGCAAAGGCTGTAGGTACTTGTAGTTTTGCCATTCGTGTGTGTGCCTTTTTTTTTTTTTTTTCCTGTCTGTATGTTTACTCTGGTCAAGTAAATCTGTCCAGTAACTAGATCAGTTGTAGCCTGCTCCCTCTGTAGGTTCTTTTTCCTGGTGCTCCTTTAGCCCACTGAAATACCCAGTGCTTTGGCTATGGTGGAGCATGGAACCTTCTATGACTTACTGTCTAGCATCTGAGCAGCAGGCATGAGCACTGCGATGGCTGCAGGGGAAAGGGTCCCTAGCCCTATGTCTGGCTTCAGTACTGGGCTTACACGTGAATTTTTACCGCTGTGTTGACTCCTGCACTGGCCTTGCGAAACATTATACTCAGGGTTCTGGCAAGTGGTCAAGTTGGAGGAGCTTGGAAAAGATAATTGAAATGTGGGGTCTATAAAAGGAAAACCAAAAATGTATTGCAGCTTACCACTCTTGGATATGGGAGCTGCCATAGTGTTTTTTTTTTTTTTTTTTTTTTTTTTTTTTTTTTTTGTTAAGCTTTCACTTTGTGATCTGGCTAGTAACACACCTATATTAGTATGACCCCACTCTGAATGAAGGAGCACAGAAGGCACCTTTTTGAACGGCAGCATTGTTGGTCTGGGAGGAGGTGCGTGTTAGATGTACTAGCAGGTTTAGATACACTATCAAAGCTAAACTTCAACTCACACTGCAGTTACAGCAAACAGGCTTTTTCTTTTTGGGGGGGGGGGGTTTGGATTTTACATGGATAAATAAAAGCAGGTCACTGTTAGCACCTCTCAACACTCTTGATGGCTACATTTGCTGGAGAGCCTGTTCTGTTGAAAAATAGTCTTGTTGGCCAGATCACAAGATGAAAATAAAGGAAAGAGCCTGAAAAAATTGATGTGATCACATCTAAGCTGTGATATAATTGCTGTTTTGGTTTAATAACACAAATCTGGCCGTTCTAATGGTCTTCCAATGTTCACATTTTAGACACTTTAGCTGATTACACATAAATGATTGATTGCAATTCCAAACAGTTTTTCTAGGAAAAACAAAACTTCCTTTTGTTAACTATATTGTCTGTTTGAAGTTCCATATATCCTATTACATGCATAAAAATGGCATGTGAATGGTCTGCTAACGCTGTCCTAGTACATGTAAGAACAAAATAACTACAGTATAAAAGCTAATCTCCTGGCTTTTAGTGAAGTTTAAATAGACAAAATAACTACTTCACTAAGACATGCAGTGGCTGTGAGCTCTGAAGTGTATTGTGTTTCAGTAGTGTGATGGGAACTTTGTTCAACACCTGGATCAAAATTGAGTTGGGTGGAGTGCTGCTTAGCCATTCAATTGAAAAGCTTTGTATTCTATGAATGAATACAAAGCTTCCTTTGGTCCAGTCAGAAAGTGTGAAGTCATCTGTTTGCCCCTCTGCCAATTAGAGGAAGCTTCGTACTCCGGAAATGCAAAGCTTTCCATGAATGGCTGAGCCGAGCGCAGCCTGACTCCGTGTTTTTTGTTTTGTTTTTTCCATCCCACTGCCAGAAAACAGTGATGTATATTGTGTGCAGCTGAGGCTGCATACAGTTCATACAATACTAAAAGCCACTGCTTGTCTTGGTAAACTTTTCTCAAAGCTGGAGAGTCTTAATTTCTTCCATCAATGAGGGACAGCCCTATTAAATCTGAGTGCAAAAATTAGTTTTCAGCAAATCCTTGTCCCCAAAGTAATGCCTAAACAGTCCAGGTCCCTGCCAAGTGTCACTTTGGTCTATTGATTTTGGGACAGCATTTGGTGATATGGCAACATAATGATTTAGTTTTTAGGGTCAGGTCTGAGTTACAGCCTTGCAGTGCTCTGCATTGAAACCTGGCTACCTGTTTACAATTTCTGCTAGGTTAAACACCATGTTTGATTTGAGTAATAGTGTCTCAATTCCACGCAATGCAATAATTCATCCAAATAACCCAAACAAAATTCCACCCTGTGAGTGCTGTTAGTTGACATTAATCCTATTACCATTTCAGCAGGATTATCGATTATGAAAGTTTCCAATACAATTGTGTCTGCTGGATGTGGACTTTAGGCCAGAGCGTGGGCTGTGGTGGAATATTTAGTGTCCTGATAAAATGCGTGTTTTTTTGGGTCATATGTAGGTAAAGGTAAACTCCAGGAATGATGGGGAAAGGCTATCTTTTGCCAAAGGGGTCATTTTCTCCTCGCTTCTGCAAAAATAAAACATACCTGGGGAAATCCTAACCAAGACCTAAATAGTAGGGACCAGAAAGATTTAACCCAGTTATTTAAAATCAAGGAAAAAAAAAAAGTTTGAGTGGACTTGAAACTGAAAATATCTGAAAAGGTCACTGATGAATATGAAAAGGTTGCAAAAGCATAGTCTAATTTGAAGAATCTTTTGTTTCTGTATCCAGAAAAGTGAATTCTCATTGGGTTATTTTGGTCATAATGCCTTGCTGCTTTATGTACAGTTGTTACTCAGTTGGGCTAATTCAGTAACCCAAACAAACCAATTTTGTTTGCAGAAGTCATATAAGTATGGGTGATTGCTAAGGGTTATTCCAGTTCTGCTACTAGATTGTAGGATGTGTGTAATGACTAGGCCTCCCTTGGCAAAGTCCTGGGAGTATTAGTCAGGCTTCAGTAGGTATGTAAATGGCCTACACCTATAGCAAGGGCATTATTCCACTTTAGTCAGAGCTGTACAGTTTATCTACAGACACCCCTCATCTACATGGTGAATGTGAACAAACCTTTTTAATGTCAAGTTTCCTGCACCACAAATCACTGGCTTCATTCCCTATACGTAGCTTTTTTGGGAATGGTATGGCCATGTGTGGTATGACTTATATAAAAGGTGCTGAATTTTGCTTTTGCTTTTTTCTGACTTTAGTAAAACCCCTCCATACTGGCATATGTACTTGGTGCAGTGTAAAGAAAGGATATTTGTCCTGCCCTGGAGATGTTTGGTTTTTAACTAAGGTGTTTTTGTTCTTGCAGGCTGACCCTGTACCCAATGGACTGCGAGCTCTGCCAGTCTTCTATGCCTGTACAATTGGAATAAACCTGTTCTCAATCATGTACACAGGCGCTCCCCGTGAGTACATTTTTTATTGTAAGATGTTGGTCTATTTGCCTCTGGTTTGTACTTCCGAGCCCACCATTAAACCCAAAATTTACTACTTTTTACTTTACAGGACTGAAATCTTCTAGAAGTCTGCTGGCCTGTGCCCGTTAAAGAAGGCTGCAGGCTAGTGTATGCTGACATTTCTAACCTAAGTAGTTAACCAACCTGGCTAACTCACTACAGCCCTTTCCTCCCAACTCCTCCAGCAGGCAGTTATGCCTATTCTCCCTCTACTTCCCCTTCAGCATGGTCGGTGGCTATGAAGAACTGCAGAAGAATATTTTCACTTATTTCCTTCCTCCTTTCACTCCAGACACACTACCCATATATTTTACTTTGCCAAACGTCACTGTTAGAAATGCAGTGCCATAGGACTTAAAATAAGGATCATCACATTTTCTTTTCGTAAAGTTGTATGCAGCTTGGAACCAGTTGAGTAACTCATGCCCCCCTGATCAATGTTTAATTCATTGTAACACACGGATAAATGAAACTCCATTAGGGGGTTTGAAGATGACCCATCAAAAACCTATAGAAATGGTTATTATATTTTATCTGTAAATTGGAGCCCTTCTATAGCTCAAGTGTAGAAAGAGGGAGGGCATTAAGAGCAGTTATGGCTAAAAAAAATTTCTGAAGTTGTGAGCTGGGTTTTGTTTTTCATGGGCTGCCAGGCTGTAATACTTCTGGGATCAGCTAGCTGCTCTTGGCATTTTTTTTAGGAAGGAAGTAGTTCTACGCAGCTCAGTTGATCCTCAGATTGTAGTTTCAGCAACCCTTTGGGTGGATTGATTAAATGGGTAGATTAGCTACTGATCTAAATAGCAAACTGGCTGTTTTTAGTTCTGGATCACTAGTAAGTGAAATTCTCAAGTTGTAATACCCTCCTAATTCTCTAACTGCTCATAGTGTTTTTGTCATTCATAACATGTTCTGCTTCTATTTGTAGTTTCAGATTTCCCAAAGGCTTGGCAATCTGCATGCCAGCTTTTATATTTAATTTTTTTTTTTTTCTTAAAGTTTAAAACCCTACATGATCTTTACAGGGGTGGATCTATTTAGGAGCTAGTTTGTCCAAGGATCAGAACCTCATAAGAGTGTGGTTTATAATGTCACTGATGGCAATCAAAAATGCCCAAGTGCTAGATGTATTTCTTAGGCACATTTATCTTCCTCTACTCCAAGGTAAAAAAAAAATCCTAGGAGCAAGGAAGTATGTGACTACTCCATTTTAGAGGTCTTGTAACGCAAGTCCTCTAGTTGCCAAATGGTAGCTCACCAGCCGCCTTGGCTGTGTTTCCATCTTCATGTTTGGATATCAGGTTAGTATAAGATTCTGGAATGTTTACTTGATGACATTAGATACTAATGCAGAGTTTTGTCATGAAGGTATGAAAGCTCATTGTACTTGTGCCTGTTGTAAGTAAGACGTAGAGCTGTATTAATGCCAATGTCCACTACTGATGACCATTCTGTAGATTATATTTCTGAGCTGATGGCTGCTAGTGTAGTGTAGGGGTACCCAACATTTTGCTTGTTACAACAGGAGTTAAAGCTCAACTGTGGGGGGGGGGGGGGAAATAAATATTCCTTTGCAGTGGGGGGGGCCCCTCCACATTGTAAGGGTTAAATGCTTTAGTCTAGGGGTAGAGTAAGAGGCTGTATTACTTACCATACTCCTTTCTCTGGTGCTGTCCTCTTCCCTGACACTTCAGACTTTTGTCGATTCCCTCAGTCCTCCCATACAGTGCTAGACTTTAGCTCTGTATTGTATGTGAGAAGTGTACCACTACAGCCTGGAGCACCTTTGAGAAGAAGCTAAGGGGGACTGCTGCTACTGATGAGGAAGCCCACTCTATTGTGGATTGAGTTATTATACCTTATTACTCTGCCCCTACGTATATTGAGTATTTAACCCTTGTAATCTGGGGAGGCCCCACTGCAGGGGTATTTGTTTAGAATATCATATTTGAGGTACATGTATATAAAGTCCTGGTTTCTGACAGCATCACTCTTGCATGGCACCACTCATGTGGTGTCTTGGGTGGAGACTTTATGTATGCAGCCACTTGCCAACAGAGTAAAACATCAAGAATTCCCTAATTTTGGATTGCAACTCTCCTCTTATAGCACTGCTCTTGCTCCTACATTTGTAAGCTTTTAAATTCTACCCCCGTCCCAATGTTCTTGCTACAATCTAGCATGAAGCCATTGAGGAAAAAGAATTATGGAGAACACTGCACCTATTCTGAGGCTCAATGTACACTGAAACATTTTTCTGCTGGCAGCAGAGGAAATGAAAAAATGGTACTGCGTTTAGTGCTTGGACGTTTATTAATTTCATTGGCCGGAGTACTTGCTATTAAAATGAATAAACGCTGTTAGCGCTGATGCATGTTTTTGCCACATTTAGTATTTTTTGGCCAAAATGTTCCTTTCCTGAATGCAATTCTTCATTCAGGAGAGGGACGTTTCACTGGCCTTAAACTCTGCTACTGTCAAACTGATAAGTCTGTGTGCATGGACACAGGCTTTCGTTGAGTTCAAGAACTTTTGGCAGTTTTCATCAAAGCCCCTGAACTCATGTTTTATGAGCAGCAGTGTTCATGAGGCCTAACGCCTGCATGTTCAAAACAAACTCCAACAGCTGTTGAATACTTATAGGGAGATAATCCTGTACAGGCATAGGTCTACCTTTTGCCTGCTTTACGTGCAGCAATCTACATTTTAACAGTGGCTGAAAAGCTAAGTGCTGTTTATTTGAAAGATTTGTCCTTATGTTGCACTGACAGCTCATGTGATTTCCATTTTCACATGCAGTCAGCTTAGTTAAAGGTGTATAAATTAACAGAAAAAGTGCTAGTCCTCTGAAGGCACACTTTGCTCTCACGTGTTTGCATATCAGGTGGCTTCCACCTTGTGTGTATTCTGCTGTATTGGATATGTGAGGCGCTGTAGCTGTTAATCTCTCATCTCATAACTGCTTCCTCCCTGATATTGCTAACCTAACAGCTTTGTAGTTGAGACCATGCAAAGTTAGAGGCAGAACCACTACTTGAAGACTGGTCAAGGTTTTGGTATCCAGTAGGATCTTGCCAGGCTCTTATTGAAGTCTCTACTATGCAGACTTGAGTTGATGGCATAATAATGGGATCACAACTTGCCTTTCCTTCAACAGTCCCTGTCCCTTACCAGCATCTTCTCCTGTGTGCCAGCCTTCAGTCTCCTCATTGAATGGCACTTCATGATGTCAATCCTATGCATGCACAGGAGACTGCCCTTCCAGCACACAGGGAAAGTGCTGAAGATGTAGGCTGAGCTGCTTGTGTGTGGCTCAGTTTACATTGCAGGAGAATACAATAATAAAAGGATTTTTTAGGCAATATAAGAACAAAATATTAAAATGGGAATAACTTTTATCACATAATGTTTAAAAGGTAACACAGTATTTTTCCACATGTCAATCAAATGTTACAAAAACTGCTGTGCAGCATATATACAAGCAGAGTCTCAGAACGGAGTATCTGATGCATTTCGGAGGCACAGCTCTTTTAGGGGTAACTGCATACAGTGCGATTAAAATCTGTAGCAAAATTGAGAATATACATTTATATTAAGAAAATACCCACAACCAAAAAGAGAAAGCAAAAAACCCACTTTTCCCACATAATATCAATACGGTCACAGCACAATCTGGGTGAAAAATGGTTATTGGGAACAGTGCGGCTATGCATCACCATATCCAAATACCCCTAAGGATAAAACGGGGGAGGGTGCAAATTCCCCTGGAAATCACTGCAGGTAGACACTGGGATTGCCTAGAGGCAGCAAAGGGATAAAAAGAAATCAGAAAAATGGAATTGTATATTTTATAATACCTGGAAGCATGTCCAAACAATCCACCTACCTGAAAGGTATGATGATGGGGGGGGGGGGGGGGGTGGAGAGAAAGTAAATCATGCGGGAAATCTCCTACAATTTTTACATTGCAGGAGGAGGGCAGTGACCAAACAAGTAGGTGTATTTTTGGATTGCATAGGTTATAACCCCTGGAAAAATTGCCATCTGTGTCCCATTGTGGAGATTTTCACTTTTACTTGCTGTCCCATAACCAAGACCAGAAGTCAGAGGAAATCTCTCCAAAGTGAAGGAACTCCTGGTTGTCTCTAAGGTCATTAGAGTTATTGTCCCTATTGGAAGACTTCCTCTGTATTACTGTTCTGTAGTACCCAAAATTTGAAGTTTTTACTTTCAGTGATGACTAAATGGAAAAGGTGAATCTCTCCCGGATGGGGGGCACAGTCGCCAATAAAGCCACACAGATGTTCTAAGCCATCTCCATTCCACTTTCAAAACTTAAAGTTCCACTTTAGGGGGTATATGTTGTTGGTAATTCTGCACTTCAGATAAAATGTGCTTGACAGGTGTGCCGAGGAATGCAAGGAAACCTTTCATATTGTATTGCTGAATGATTTGAGATGAGATTTTAGATCTGAAGTCCAAAACCCTTTATTTTAGGGCCTATTTACACTTGCCCGCAAACAAAACTGGAACAGTTTCATGTGTGAGCAGCATTGCATTACTCAAATCCTTTTTTTTTTTTTTTTTTTTTTTGGGGGGGGGGGGGGTCCTTATATGAAATAACACTATTCATTTCATGTCACTCCACAGTGGTGCACTGCGCTTGCTGTGTGGTGACATGCGGAATCTGCTGGGGGGGTTCAATATTATGCAAATATTACACAGCTCTGGAATACATAGAAACGCCACCATCTGGTGTAAACATGACACAGAAACCTTCCTTTCTCTCTTGTGTCATTGCAGTTACCTGTCTGTCTTGATGAGAAATGCAGGTAATTGCACATACCATGAGTAGGCCCCAAAGAAATTTTTTTTTTTTTTTTTTTTTTTTTTTTTTTTTTGACAAACTAAACTTTTTAATATGGTTGAAAATTCTGCCAACAAATTCTTTATGTAAAGGATATGTAACCAGAATAGCTGTTTGTGGTTTTTTTGTTTTTAGGATTCACTGTTTTGCCTCCTTAACTGAACTGTAGTGTTTTTACAGTATGAAGGACCCCCAAACTTACAGGTTTTAGTCTTGTGTATCACTTATGCGATTGCTTTGGCTTGACCCACAAGCTGACCCTCTTGGACAAAGCTGCGGACTTCTGTTCCACATGAAGGGATTATTGGAGTGGATGGCTTTCATATGTTTTTTTTTTTTTTTTTTTTTGCAGTTCTTGGATTTGACAAAATTCCTCTGTGGGGCATCATTCTCATCTCTGTAGGATGTGCTGTGATTTGTGCTGTGTTAGTCTGGTTCGTCATTTGTCCCAGGATGAAGAAGAAAATAGAACGTGAGTGTCTCATGGCTTTTCCATTTTATCTAGAGGATTGGTATAAATAGCCATGGTGTAATGTCAGATGCAAATGTGTTGGGAGTCTGAAATTGGCTTGTAGATGAAAATTCTGACTTGTCATATGACCTGACGTCCTCCACAGTGGATTCTATAACCATAAGCAGAAGAATACAGCTGGACTTAAGGACCACCCCCTGTGATTTGTTTTGCATAAGAAGGCTAGCTGCCTGTCCTTGTCCCCTAGTACCCCCCATCCCTTCCCCCCCTCTCCAAGGCTCCTTGGGTGTAGCTATAGAAAGTCACTATTTAAGTTTTGTGGGGTTGTGTTTTTTGGGGGTTTTTTTTTTTTTTTTGTTAAATTGCTTTGACATATTTCAAAGGTTTAAGTATCTTTTCGGCTCTTCACCAGGTGAAATAAAGTCCAGCCCCTCAGAATCTCCACTGATGGAAACGAAGAACCAAGATCACAGTCATATCTTGAAACAAGATCAAGATGTGAAGCTGCCAATTGGCAGCGGTGTCACTATAGAGACTAAGGTGCCCATTCTAGACATGGTGTCTGTGCCTATACCCTCCCGGGTAGTAGAAGAACGTACTGTGACCTTCAAGATGGGTGATGGAGATGATGTGTCAGAGAGAGAAAAGAGCCAAAGTATGGAGACCAACATTGACCAGCCAATAAGTGGTGAGTTTTTAGTTAAGACCTGACTCCTTTACTTCAGCACATCAAAACTAAATCCCACCTCCAACCAAATTGCTTTGTTTCATTGTAATTATATGGCCATCTGCCCCATTGAGAATTTTGCTCCTCTTCCTGTCCTGGTGACTAGTGCACACCATCCCCAATTTCTTTTGCAGGCTTCAGCGTTTGTTACATTTAATCTGTTGTGATTACCTTTATATGGAGTGGGGAGAAGGCTTTGTTGTGGTGTGTGGTGGTTTTTTTTTTTTTTTTTTTTTTTTTCTTTTTCTTACAAAGTTTCTTTAGGTTTTCATTACATTGGCCCATGTTTTCAAAACCTGTGCTATGTAATTTTGGCACTGATGTTTATTTCTGTCCCATAACAAACTAATTTGGGCCTAAAAGGATAATGAGAGGAAAAAAAGCAACTCCAGAAAAGGTTAGCAGCTTAAACAGTTGCCTGTTTGGGCTGTGCTTCATCATGCTCCGGTGACTTTAAGGTAGGGTGTCCATTTAACCTGTCTGCTGCCGCCATGTAATATTACATTAGTGGCAGCTCCAACATGTATACAGACTCGTCAGCTTCTCACGCATGCGCTGTGGGCACCCGGCTGCGAAGCCACAAGCTGTCACAGCCGGGTGCCCACACTGAAGATGCCAGCGCCAGGTAGAGTAGACAGCCAGTAAAACCAGAGGTGGGGTGTGGGTTTTTTTGGTCTTTCTAGCTTTAAGTAATAAGCCTAAAAATGTGCATTTAACATGCATCAAATAGCTCCAGCAGCAAGGTTTAAATCCTTACAATTGCTGTTAACGTTCTGGACAGCCAAGTTCAAAATGGCCACCTTTTTTTTTTTTTTTTTTTTTTTTTTTTTTTTTTTTTTATGAAGGGGGTTTATACATTTAACTAGAACAGGACAAACACAAGACAAATAAGTCCTTTTTCGTATTGCACATTTAGGTATAGTACATTCTTTTCTTCACGTATAGAATGCTTTTCTTTGCAGAAACATTCAACTTGCCCATCCCTTCAAGCTACTTGTAATGTGAAGCCTAGTCACATGGCCTTTGAGCAAATATTTGCAAGTATTCTATAACTGCATGTTTCTTGTCATGTACCAGCCAGTCCTCCCCCATAACATTTGTTTGCTTGTTTTACCTGTAACACGAAAGGCAGTTAAAATGGGCCATAGTTTGTATGTTACAGCACATTTTATCTAATTGGTCACCAGACGCCCTCCCTGCAGTAAATGTTAGTGGGAGAAAAGCCTATTGATAACATTTTAAAGATTCCTTGTCTCCATTCATGTTTAAACTGGCCAGCTGCATCAGAATGATCCTCTCTAGCAGGAATTGCCCATTCCTCTCATATGCAGTAAATGATTTGGTAGTCTCTGAAGACTCCTATTTGAACCACCTGTTCCTAACCATTTAGCAAAGATCTGGCACCAGAGGGATGTGGAATTTTTTAACTTTTTTCAAACACAAATATTTGTATTCACCTTTTTAACTAAACTACAGGTGAAATACACTAGTTAATTCTGTACGGTGCTCATTAACCACCTGCATTCTAGAGCATTTCCCACATGAAATTGCTTACAAGAAAACTACTTAAAAATATTTTTTTTTTTTTTTTTTTTTTTTTTTTTTTTTTATTTGTGGCGTCCCTGTAGAATAAAATGGTGGCCGTTGCAGTTTTGCACAGTCCTTTTATCAAACACAAATTTTCAGGGAAAACATACACTAAAATTAATTTTTGTGCACGAACACAACAACCCTATTTTTAATATCTTGTTAGGAGGGTCCTGCTCTTTTGGAGCTTACAATCTAAGAGGGAGGGGCCAGTGGTACAAAGATTAACTGGAGGGGGACGATTTGATGAGAGAAATAGGAGATTTGGTTGAGAGTTCCAGAGGATGGGCAGGCTCTGGAGATGGGAATGGGAGGAGGAGATGAGGGAGCTAGAGAGCGGGCATGGGAGGAGGAGACGAGAGCCATAGACCAGGAGGCCATGGGAGGAGCGGAGAGGACAGTTTGGAGACAAGATTGGTGATGTAATTTGAGTTATAAATTGCTTTTATGTTATAAATGTTTTGAATTTTATTTGTTGGGAAATGGGAAGCCAGTGGAGGGATGGCAGACATGGAACAGTTGGTAAGGTGGATGAGTCTGGAAGCAGCATTCATGATACACTGAAGATGGGATAGCCTGCGATTAGGTAAGCCAATGAGGGGGGAGTTACAATAGTCAAGGCGAGAGAACAAGGGAGTGGATAAGTTTCTTAATGGTTTCACTGGTTAAATGGGCATAACTTGGAGATGTTAGAGGTGAAGTCTACAAGATTTGGGCAGTGATTGGATTTGGGTCTGACCGTTTTTTAGGAAGTGGAGTGACATCCATGCTATGTCACGTAGGTTAATGATGCGAGGGGAAGACTGAAGGGGGTAAGGTGAGGAGTAGAAGGATTTGTCATCAGAATAGAGAGTACTTGAAGCCATGGGAGTTTATCAAGTGACCAAGGGAGGTGGTGTAGATAGAGAAGGGTCCAAGGAACCTATAGGGACCCCTAAAGAAAGAGGAAGTGGATAGGAAGGCACAGTTATATGTAACATTGAAGGAGTGCTGCGATAGGTAGGCGGAGAACCAGGAGAGAGCTGTGTGTGTGTGTGTGTGTGTGTGTGTGTGTGTGTGTGTGTGTGTGTGTCAACTGTATCTATCAAAACCCGCAGAGAGGTCAAGTAAGGCGTAGTGGCCATTGGTTTTAGCAGTTGGTAAATCATTAGTGAGTTTTAGTAGGGCAGTTTTCAGTGGAGTATAGTGAGGGAAAGCCCGGCTGTAAAGAGCCAAGAAGGTTGTCAGTGAGGTAGGAGGTCAGGCGATTGTAGACTAAGCATTCTAAGAGTTTAGAGGTAAAAGGGAGCAGGGAGATGGGTCTTAAGTTGTTCAGGTTGGTTACTGAGTTATAGGGTGGCGGTGGAGAGACGGAGTTAAGTAGAGCAGAGATGACAAGGACTGGAAGACTGAGTATTAAATCTGACAAAGTGGGCTTGTTTGGCAGCATGGAGGGAGGAATTGTATTTTAAGAAAGCAGATTTATATAGGGTGACTACTGGTTGGGATTTGGTTTTACGCCACAAACGCTCCCGTGCACGGCTGTGTCTCAAGATTTCTAGTGTCGTCAGTCTGCCAAGGTTGTTAGAAAAGTCCTCAAGTGCAACATCAGTCCAGGAGGCCGATGGATCACTGCAATCCTCGGAGAAATGGGAGAAAACAGCCGAAATACAGTGAGTCTCAAAAGAAGAGGATAGAGAGGAAGGGGTAGAGCGGACTTGAAAGGTGCTCAGTGGGGATAGAAGGAAACCAACTCCACCTCCCTTTCCAACCAAAATAAAATCTAAAACTATGTTGTGTCAAGTAAATATATGCCAAACGTGTCAAGACTCAGAGCTGTATGCACCTTAGAAATGGCAGCAAACCTATAGTAAGTCTATAAAAAGTCGAGTGTCTGGCTGCTCTTCCTTGAATGTATACATGTACCAGAAGACCCCCCCCCCCCCCCCCCCCCCCCCCGTATTTCAGCATTGAGAAATTACATGTGTATCAAAAAAGACATTGTGATAAAAAGATTATCAGCTTTATTACATACACATTTTGTATAAAATGCATCGTTTACTAGGGAAAAAAAAAGGTAAATATACCAAAAAATAAACAATTGGTTTAATGGAGTCTCTCATAACCCAAAAATTGACCAATTGTTTGTTTTTTGGTTTGTTTACATGCTATTTGTTTACTAGAAACTTTCTTTGTATTTATGCCCCCTGAAGATCATCTAAAATGTGGAAAGATCGAAATACGTCGGTAACAGTTTTTTTTTTCTTCCTATTTGAGTGGTCTTTGACCTTTTTTGTGTGAAGAATTTTTATTTTTTTTCTCTTTTAAAGGAACATCGTAGATTTCTTTACAAAAAGACTATGTATTTTATACAACGTGTATGGAATAAAGCTGATAATCTTTATCACAATGTCTTTTTTGATAGATGTAATTTCTCAATGCTGCAATAAAGTCCCACTGGGGGGTCTTCTGGTACATGTACACTATAGTAAGTCTAAAACTTATTTTTCTATTGGCAGGTTATGGCTTTTGGGGTTTTCTGGTAATGTCAAATACAACTTTTTTGGTTTCAGCATTAAGGGGCAATAGAAACTAGTGTAGCCACAGCACTACTAGAATAACCAATTTTAAAAGGGCCACTGGCTGTGGCCTTTTGCTTTATTGTACTGTGACACACATTTTAATATACTCGTGACCAGAGGGCAGCTGAACGGATAAGGTGACATTGTTGCCTTTCACCCACTGCCTATAATTGAGCAAGTCACTTGATATGCTATTTACCTTTTTTCAAACCAGCAAAACCGCCACGTCACACATGCTTTTATCTGTTTTCTGCCATGCTGTTTGACCCGCAGTTTGTTTTATAGTTAATGATACCAATTTTATCTGTTTTGTGAACAAATATTTTCTTTGACTGGGCTTCTAGTGTCCTAGAAAAGACATTTCTGAGACCCGGTCACATCTAGGCATTCTAGAATCCCTGTCAAAATCCCCCGATTCTGGAATGCAGCTTGGGTGCCGTTTTATATTAATGGCACCCCAAATGCGCGAAAGAATGGGCATTTTGTTGCACGTGTGTTTGGGGTATGTTTTGTGATGAGTCAGTCTGCTCCAAAGAAAATAACAGGCGCTACTTCTGCTGTGTTTTTTTGGAGCAGAGTAGTACTTTCAAATGGTGCTGCTCCGAAAACCGCTAGAAATACGAATTTTAAAATGTGGTGCTCTGTGGGTGCTAGAAATGAGAGGAGCCTAAAAGATTAACTTAAATGGTAAGAATTTGGCATTTATTTAAAAAAAAAAAAAAAAATCTAGATCCTTTTGTGAACAATGTTTTTTGATTATGTGGAATGCAGCCTAAAAGTGGTGAAATTAACAGACATAATGGCATGCATAAGAGTCGACATTAAACAATATATATATATATTTTTTTTTCTTCCCCTTTCCACCCAGGATCCATTCCACTGCCAAATGGAAACCATGTTCAGTTCAGCCAAACTGTTAGTAATCAAATTAATTCTACTGGTCAGTATCAATACCACACAGTGCATAAGGATTCAGGCCTGTACAAAGAGCTGCTACACAAGTTGCATTTGGCCAAAGTAGGAGATTGTATGGGAGATTCAGGGGAGAAGCCCCTACGCCGCAACAACAGTTACACCTCATACACCATGGCAATCTGTGGAATGCCACTGGACTCCTTTCGAAATCGGGAGGTTGAGGCACGCCCTGAAGAAGCTGAGAAGTTGACTTGGAATGGAGCAGATGGGAAGAAGAGGGCTCGCATGGACAGCTACACCAGTTATTGCAATGCAGTTGCTGATACACATCGGGATGTTGGCGAACAGGAGGAAGGAAACACAGAGGAAGAAGTGGCAGAAAGGAAGAGCAGCAACTCTTCCTTACAGGAATGGCATGACCAGGACAAGCCTGAGGTGTCCCTACTCTTCCAGTTTCTGCAGATCCTCACTGCCTGTTTTGGCTCCTTTGCTCATGGTGGAAATGATGTCAGGTTAGTATTTACAGGCTACTTCTCTGATCTTTTAACTTGAACCTGCAGTTGGCTATACTAGGCAAGTTTACCAGTTTTCTGGATAGCTGTACCCGGGGCTGCTGTTAGAAACCACGGGGCCCCATACTGCCAACCTGACAGGGCCCCCTTCCCTAACAAAGTTTACTATTCAGTTATGCATGAACACAGTATGTGATGGGTACTGATCACTCATTGTGTTCATTCAAGAAAGGAAGGGGCTGGTAACTGGACATCTCCATCCTGAAGGATCCTATTGCAGCTGCTGCTGGGGAGGAGAGGGAAGCCAGCAGTATTGCAAGGGTGAGGGGGCCTAGGCTGCAGGGGAAACGTGCACAGGGAGGGTGATGGGTGTGTCAGGGGGATTTGGGCAATTTGTGGAACCGATCCCCCTATATGGCTCTCTACTGCAGCTGAAAGCCAGTGGGAGAGGAAAACAAGCCAGCTATCAGCGCCCGCGCCCCCCCCCCCCCCCCCAGCTGTGCCGATCACCCTTCCTGCTCACATCCTATTCACCCAGCTGCCTGGGCCCCTGTACAGGAAGACTGGTGGTACCCCTTATCCATGGCCCTGGTTGTACCTTTACACACTGCTTGTTCACTTTCTAGAACTGCTCCTACACAAATCTGTCCCAACCATACACAGGACCTGCTCCCATATGATCGTTGGGCAGGTGTGGCAGTGTTGTGTTATGCTTCATGCACACTGTGTGTGTGTGTGTGTGTGTGTGTGTGTGTGTGTGTGTGTGTGTGTGTGTGTGTTTCAATCGCCCAAAAGCGGTTAGCATTTCTTTTTACTGCTTCTAGAGACTAATGGTGTTATGGCATGGTTATTGTTGTCTAGTAGTGTTTCTCCCAGTCTTCAGCGCTTAGAAGCAGAAAAAATTTCTTTGTTTTTCCGGCAGAAACGCTACACTACTAAAATGCTCCTAACAGCTTCTTTCTAGCTACTTTTTCCTCCCCTTACATTTACTGTATAAATGCTTCTAAATGGCTACTAAAAGCTATTACCACCGTGTGGGTTTTTTTTTTTTTTTTTTGCAATTCATCTCATCATTTGCAAATGTGTTTTGTTGCAGCAATGCTATTGGACCACTGGTTGCCTTGTGGCTGGTTTATGAAACTAGAGATGTGAACACCAAAGCTTCTACCCCACTTTGGCTGCTCCTGTATGGAGGCATCGGTATCTGCATTGGCTTATGGGTCTGGGGACGTAGGGTCATCCAGACTATGGGCAAAGATCTAACTCCTATTACACCATCAAGGTAGGTTACATAATTGCTAACAGCAGCATACTAAAGTACAGAAAGGGGTGAATTGAAGTTGAGTTGAATACGGATACACAATGCTTGAAACAAGTCTTGGGGCTGCCTATTCAATGCTAAAACGGGTAGACTAGTAAGCGTTCCCCCTCAAAGGAGAAAAATGCAGAAATCGTGAAGTACGTTTGCTCACGGCCTTTGCCAAAGGTCTAAGTGTCTGATTTATGAAGAAATCCTTAAAGTGTTACTAAACACACAACCGTAAAATCAGTCTGTATGTGCAGTAAAACATGCTTATTATACTTTGTGGAACCTAAGGGGTAAATTCCCCACATTGTGTAAAAAGCATGTTTGATCCTGCCTTCTCTGATCCTCCTTTTTTTTTTTTTTTTTTTTTTTCTTCTGTCCACAATCAATCTGCTGATAGTGCAGACCTCTAGAAGTCACTGCACAGGCTCAGTTTAGTGTGTATGGCTAGAGGTGTTTTTTTTTTGTTTGGGGTGGGTGCATGTGATCAGCGCTGTCCAGAGAGAGGGTCAGAGGTTATGCAGCCTCATAGGACAGTCAAAGCAGAAAGAAAACGTCTCCTACAAGCTTTAACCAGTGCTCAGCTAGGCATTGATAGAAGTCACAAGTCTGCTACATACTGCTGAGAAGGTATATAGCAGTTTATATTTACTAAAATTGCATTTCCATGTTCTGTGTATTGTGGGAGACCAGATATAGTGAATGCAGAGTCCTGGGTTTAGTAAAAACTTTTAAAGTGGTTGTAAACTTCAAATGTGAACAAAGCATATCCCTTCTATAGTGTTTACTTGTTTCAATTAAGAGCACAAAGTGTCCTTTCTGTCTGCCTTGTTACTCTGCTGTCAGCATGAATCACTTTGACAAATTTTCCTATAACCAAGAGAAAAAAAAGTGACAGGAGGGACTTCCAGCTGATTGACATGACAGCCTCAGCACTGTTGTGTGAAGGGGTGTTTACCCCTTTCCTCCAATCAGCTCACTGAGCTCTGCAGAGTGATGCAAGATTTAAAAATTCTGGACTTTGAACAGGCATAGAGAAGGTTGCAGATATCCAGGTACAACTTAAGTGATGCACATAGATGACACCAATCCTCCTACATGAGGCTAGTCACTTCACTGGGTGTATGAAAGGGTTTACAACCGCTTTTATAGTACAAAAAATATTTTTATGCTTTTTTGCATACCTGGAAGAAGATAGGAGGGAGAAGTTAGAATTGCAAGAAAAGGACTATTCAGTTAGATTACTGATTTAACCCCTGTGAGTCAGCCTTCTGCTGCTAGGAGGCAGTAACCCTGCTGTGATGCTGATTGCTACAAGGATATGAGTGGTTGGATGAGTTTAATCCCAGTTTCCCTCACAGCATGCGGTAGCTCCTCCTGCCAGCTTGTACGTCTGTGATGATCTATAAGTCAGCGGGGAGGAAGCATAGCATGTGAGTGTAGCAGGTGTTCTCACACCCTAACATGTTTGAATACCTGCAGTGGTTGCAGAGCAGCATCCCAGTGGTGGCTCAAGACAGACTGCTGGGAAGGTAAGTATATTTGCCACTTTTTATACTTTTTTTTTTTTTTTTTTTTTTTTTTTTTTTTTTTTTTTTTTACCTCTAATTACAGGATCACTTTCATTCACGGGTTATATCTGTGTTTTTGGGGGGGTGGCTGCAGCTTGTAAGGCCTCTTGTTGTTCCAAGTAGGGAATTCCAGATTAGTAATGATTAGTTTTCTAAGTTTTTTTTTTTTTACTTTTTTGTTCTATATCTTCAGAGCAGTTTAAAACCTTGATTGTCTAATTTTTTTTTTTTTTTTTTTTCCTTTTTAGTGGTTTCAGCATTGAGTTGGCATCTGCTCTAACTGTTGTGATTGCGTCTAATGTTGGTCTGCCAATCAGTACTACACATTGCAAGGTGAGGAATGGTATCCCATTTATAGTGGAGACATTTTTATCAGTTTTATTGTTTAAGTGATGACCATATACTTCCACCCCCCCATACTACCCTAACCTTTTTTACTATGCAGTTTAAAGTTCTATTTTAACCAGGGCAGGTGGCAGAGTACTGCTATTAGAGGGTCAGCCTGCTGTTGTCAAGCAGTAATTTGCCGTGGAGCCCTACTTGATACTTAAGACAAAATGAGCCTGAAGCAACTGCTATATAACAAATTTTAACAGCCTGTTAAAAGTTAGGGCAGCATGGGATGGGGGTGTGCAGTAAAAAGTAAAGTACAGTCAGTTCCATAAATATTGGGACATGGACACAATTCTAACATTTTTGGCTCTATACACCACCACAATGGATTTGAAATGAAACGAACAAGATGAGCTTTAACTGCAGACTGCCAGCTTTAATTTGAGAGTATTTACATCCAAATCAGGTGAACGGTTTAGGAATTACAACAGTTTGCATATGTGCCTCCCACTTGTTAAGGAACCAAAAGTAATGGGAAAGAATAATAATCATAAATCAAACTTTCACTTTTTAATACTTATTTGCAAATCCTTTGCAGTCAATTACAGCCTGAAGTCTGGAATGCATAAACATCACCAGACGCTGGGTTTCATCCCTGGTGATGCTCTGCCAGGCCTCTACTGCAACTGTCTTCAGTTCCTGCTTGTTCTTGGAGCATTTTCCATTCAGTTTTGTCTTCAGCAAGTGAAATGCATGCTCAATCGGATTCAGGTCAGGTGATTGACTTGGCCATTGCATAACATTCCACTTCTTTCCCTTAAACTCTTTGGTTGCTTTTGCAGTATGCTTTGGGTCATTGTCCATCTGCACTGTGAAGCGGCGTCCAATGAGTTCTGAAGCGTTTGGCTGAATATGAGCAGATAATATTGCCCGAAACACTTCAGAATTCATCCTGCTGCTTTTGTCAGCAGTCACATCATCAATAAATACAAGAGAACCAGTTCCATTGGCAGCCATACATGCCCACGCCATGACACTACCACCACCATGCTTCACTGATGAGGTGGTATGCTTAGGATCATGAGCAGTTCCTTTCTTCTCCATACTCTTCTCTTCCCATCACTCTGGTACAAGTTGATCTTGGTCTCATCTGTCCATAGGATGTTGTTCAGAACTGTGAAGGCTTTTTTAGATGTCGTTTGGCAAACTCTAATCTGGCCTTCCTGTTTTTGAGGCTCACCAATGGTTTACATCTTGTGGCGAACCCTCTGTATTCACTCTGGTGAAGTCTTCTCTTGATTGTTGACTTTGACACACATACACCTACCTCCTGGAGAGTGTTCTTGATCTGGCCAACTGTTGTGAAGGGTGTTTTCTTCACCAGAGAAAGAATTCTTCAGTCATCCACCACAGTTGTTTTCCGTGGTATTCTGGATCTTTTGGTGTTCCTGAGCTCACTGGTGTGTTCCTTCTTTTTAAGAATGTTCCAAACAGTTGTTTTGGCCATGCCTAATGTTTTTGCTATCTCTCTGATGGGTTTGTTTTGTTTTTTCAGCCTAATGATGGCTTGCTTCACTGATAGTGACAGCTCTTTGGATCTCATCTTGAAAGTTGACAGCAACAGATTCCAAATGCAAATAGCACACTTGAAATGAACTCTGGACCTTTTATCTGCTCATTGTAATTGGGATAAAGAGGGATTAACACACACCTGGCCATGGAACAGCTGAGAAGCCAGTTGTCCCATTACTTTTGGTCCCTTAACAAGTGGGAGGCACATATGCAAACTGTTTTAATTCCTACACCGTTCACCTGATTTGGATGTAAATACCCTCAAATTAGAGCTGACAGTCTGCAGTTAAAGCACATCTTGTTCATTTCATTTCAAATCCATTGTGGTGGTGTATAGAGCCAAAAATGTTAGAATTGTGTTAATGTCCCAATATTTATGGACCTGACTGTATAGTACCATATTTTTTGCTCCATAAGACGCACCTAGATTTTAGAGGAGAAAAAATTCTGAACCAATGAACTGCGTACATACTACAGATGACCAGAGGCTGTGGACCGTGGGGGGGGGTTGGGTGGGTACCCGTGTTTGACAGGTACCCGCTCCCACTTCGAGGAGTTGTCCTTCATTCCCCTCCTCCCTCCCAGTATCTTGTGGGACACGTGACAGGTCCCAGAAGACTAAGGGGCCATTCACAAAGCACAATACTTCTCGCACATGCGCAGTGGGCACCCGGCTGTGAAGCCACAAGCTGTCACAGTTGGGTGCCCATGCTGAAGATGCTGACGTGAGGGAGAGAAGACTGCTGGTGAAAGCAGGACACCGCTGGACCGAGGAACAGGTAGGACCGATGAGTGTGTTCTTCTGCGCAGTAGAGCCAAGCGGCCGGCCCGGTATTTAGCACGGCAATGGGAGACGCTCCATTAGACGTACAGACATTTTCCCCCATTTTGGGGGGGGGGGGGCGGAGTGCATCTTATGGCACAAAAAATAGGGTAATTCTGCTTTAATGGGTGAATTTGTAAGTGCACACGCTTCTGATCTGTTCTGAGATCTGCCTGGTGCCACACAAATCCATTTAAAATTATTAATCTTGACTGATTAGTGAATCTAAAACAAAAACCAAAAATGTACAATTGCAGACAGTGTGTGTAGTGTGGAGTTATTTCCTTTTTTTTTTTTTTTTTTTTTTTTGTTTATTTTGTCACTGTCAATTTACACAGTGCTTTAAAAGTACCTGCAATAAAAATAAAATTAAAGTGCTACTTGGGGTTGGCAAAGTCACTCTTCCACTAGATTAATGGAGGGAGCCATGGTGGTCATCCCAGCCTGCTCTCCTGATATGGACTCCCAACATGTTTGCCTGCTTAACCCGTAGCCTACAGGGCACTTATACCTCCTTCGTGCCCAGGCCAATTTCCAGTTTTCAGCGCTGTTGCACTTTGACAATTGCACAGTCATGGAACACTGTACCCATATGAAATTTTTATCATTTTTTTTTGAGACAGCGCTTTCTTTCGGTGGTATTTAATCACCTCCCTGGGTTTTTTCTTTTCTTAAACCAAAAACCACTGAATTTTTTTTTCTTAGTTTTTGTTATAAAATTATGTAAATAAGTGATTTTTCTCCTGCACTGATGTGCGCTATAAAGGCTGCACTGATGTGGAGGCACTGGCAGGCGGCACTGATGGACATTGGCAGGCATCACTGATGGGCACTGAAAGGCGGCACTCATATATGGCACTGATGGGTGACACGGAAAGGCAGCTCAGATGGGCACTGATGCAGCATTGATGTGCACTGGTAGGCACTGAAATGTGGCATTGATGTGACACTGGGCACTGGCAGGTGGCATTGATGAGCACTGACAGCTGGTACTGATGGACACTGACAGGTGGCACTGCTGGGGCTACACAGATCATCAGTGCCCTGATGATCAGTGTACATGTCCCCTCTGAGGGATGCCGATTACCGGCTCTCCTCTCGTGCTGTCAGGAGAGATGCAGATAACCGGCATTTCCCTATTTACATGCGATCAGCTGTGATTGGACACAGCTGATCACATGACCAAGCTGACATCTTCGGCTCTTTCTGTTGATCGGTGATGTGAGGAACACAGCGCACCGCCGATCGCCGTGCTGCACGCCCCCAGGGTCACGCATGCGTGGTTAGAATGGGATGACGTCCTCCAAGAACGAGAGAACCGCCTTGTGCCTGTCACTGTACTGTATGGCGGGCGGGAGGTGGTTAAAGTGGTGGTAAAGCACTCCCCTGGCAGGACTGGTTCCCAGTCATGACAGTCGGTCATATTTTTGATCCTTCCTGCCATAATAAATATGTGGTCAGAAAGTGGCGCGGGGGGGGGGGGAGGGTGACTGACCCAGCTGCCTATTTTCAGGGCCTGTGCGAAAGAGCTTTTGGTTATCCTTTTATTGATGGAGTATAGACTTCATCAGCTTATACCAGGGTGGTTGTTCAGATGCATGGCCCTTTGTGTATTTTGGTCTCCATACAGCTAGTTGCCCAACAACACTTTCAAAGCAAATATTGATAAAAAAATCTTTTGCAGAGGCTGTTTCTAACTAGAATAATTTCAGGAAAGGTAACTAAATTCAGATCATTTTCATTCTAAATCATTCATTGTCCAGGCACAGAATTGTCTAGCTCCCAGCTCCATGCATCTTGGGCAGGGTTCACACTAGTGCGTGGGAGATTGAGTGCAGCACATTTGTATGTGCATGTTTACATGCAGTTTTAGGTGCGCCCTATATACTTCTATTAGAAAGTGTTTTCTGAAAGAACATCAAAGATTCAGCATGCTGGAGTGTATTGGTGTGAACCCGGCTTTTTGCTGTAAGTAATTTAGGAAGTGCCAAGGCCACTGATGGAAAACTAGCACTTTTATATCACTGTTGTGTAAAGGACAGAATAACTCTTTAAGTTTGCACTGTTTGAGCCTCCTAATAGTTTTGTCCTGAAGAATTTTCAGGTATCATTGCAATAACTCTTGTGACTTTGTTTTCAGGTTGGTTCTGTGGTGTCAGTGGGATGGCTGCGTTCTAAGAAAGCTGTGGATTGGCGGCTCTTCAGAAATATCTTCTTAGCCTGGTTTGTCACTGTGCCGATCTCTGGCCTGATCAGTGCAGGCATCATGGCACTCTTCAAATATGCCATCCTCCGGGTTTGATCATGCAACGCCATACCACCTGCTATCCAGAATAGTCTCTCAGGACCAAAGATCCACTGCACATATTACATCAGTGCAAACTCCATGAGCTGCTGAGGACACAAGCAATTCGCCTTCCTCCCAATCCCTGCAAGAGGGGCTGTGAATATACATCTGGAATATGCAATACTCACTCTGCAAGGGTCGGGCAATATCTTTAACAAGGAGTAAGATGTGGATTTAAAGCAAGATTATCTAGCCTTTCCTTAGTGCTGTAAAACTGCTTTAATGCTTTTTAGTATACGAGAAGAAGAAAAATCAACCCAATCTACCTGTATACGTATGCTGATCATTCCTCAGTATTAATGTTTCTGTATATATAACTGCTTGTAAGTCAGCCTTTCTTTTCCACTGTAAATGTTTGCTCATCTTGTTTATATCACCGAAGAAACTTTAAACCTTTTTTTTTTTGTTTTTTTTTTTTTTTTTTTCCATATCAGTTTTCTCCACTGCTCTGTAGGCCTGCACATCATCGCATGGCTTGGCAGTGGAATGGTTGAGTGGAAAATCACAAACCAGGTCTAGATACTTTATCAATGCGAAACCTTAACCTAGATTGTTCATTAATAGGGAAATCATGACCCATCCTTTTTTTTTTTTTTTTTTTTTTTTTTTTTTTTTTTTTTTTAATAGCCGAATCCAAAGTATCAGTTTGTTCTGTTGAGAGTGTCCTGTCTTTGGGATGTGGAGTACAGGGATGCTTCCCTCTTCCCTCGGTGATGGTGCAGTTCTGGTTGTTCAGGAGACTTGTGACAGTGCAAATGAGGATTTTTGTCCTGCAATAGTGTCCATTTCACTGGTCTTTTTTTCATCTTTGTTACTGGTGAAGCCAAAATAAATCGCACTAATTCCACCAGATCAGTCTCCGCTTATCTGTTATTGCATGTACTGATATATTACTGCATATAATGTGAGGTGATTGGAAGGGGAAACATCTTGTGTTATAGGAAATACATTAATGCTGCCATGAACCATGGCAGGATTCTGTCTTTGGTGTGTGTTTGATAGGGGCACTAAAAATCAAAACACTTGCTGACTGGTAGATGGGTATCAAGTAAAAGATGGTGAAGCTGTTGGGCTGAAAAGCTTTGTATAGAGCATTATGCCACTATAGAACAGAAGTACTAGGCTGGGTTTAGAGATGATGCAGAAATGCATGGTACCCAAAATTAAAAGGCAGAAATCCTTTGTGTGGATTACCTCACACTTGACCAGAGGCATATAAGCTCCATAGACCGCCGGGAACCCTCAGTGTTGAATGGCTTTCTCGCCCTCAGAGCCGCATATATAAAGACATTGAGGCTGACTTTACAAATGGAAAATGCATTTATGCAATAAAATTAGCAATAATTCACCTCAATTGTCCAATCGTAAAGAGCAAATTCCTGTGGTGGTGTGTGTGTGTGTGTTTTTTTTTTTTTTTTTTTTTTTTTGTTTTGTTTTTTTTTTTTGTTTTGTTTTTTTTTCTTAAATCCACATGTGATTGGGCTATCAAAGTGAACACAACTAATTTTTGAGTGAAGGTTTTCAACTCCCATTGCATCACTTATGGGAGTTATCTTCAAGATAACTGAGCCTAAGATTGTAGACAGCAGATTTTATTAACCAGAATGCACATGAGACACCCATCTACAGTGTGGCTAATGCCTACTTCTAGCAGTTTGATATGTTTTCATTGCAAGGAGCCATGTATGTTGATTTCTCTACTGTAGCACAATCCTGTAATCCAACTGGTGGAAGTACTGATAGCATAGGTACTGGGTACCCCTAGATACCTGATGCTGACAAAGTGCTTTAGATGTCAATGCCCAAGTGAAGAACTTGTGCGACACCCAGCTACCCCTTCCCTGGTGAACCATATGCGTGGGTACGAAATGTGTTTTTCTTTTTTACGATCCTTTTAACTTGCAGATTGCAGCACTGTCTGAACATTGTCCACCTCAGGCACCCCATCAGATAGATCTCCAGTGGCAACTTCTCAAGTAAAAATGTCTCCTTCACTTCTCAACAGCCTGTTAAATCCAATTGACAGGAGAACCCTTCACTTGGGTGAAGCAGGAAACTCCTAGGAGAGTTTTCACGGGAGTTTCAGTAATATCACGGATCATAGCTTTCCTGAGCTCTGCTATAACATGTTCCATTACTGGCCAAAGCTACTCTCCTTTTAGTGCTAATGTGCATGTGGGCTTAAATCAACATAGCAGGGGGGCTGCACGTTTGATGTTCCTTTTTGTTATGGGGGAGAGGGGGCCACTCAAGCCTAGTCCACACTACTAGTTTTTCCTTCAGCCCCCCAACCCAGTGTTCTGAACGAAAAACTGACCGCTCAGGAGGAGCCACTGTACTATCCAATGTTAGTACAGCAATCTCCCCTGCACCTCCCCCTCCCACCAGAACACTGGTCAGTGCTCTTAGCCATTGACCTGGAGCTGATCAAACCTTTTTCAGTCATGCCCCTTCGACAGAAGCCAACTTCTGCCATACAAATGTCATCTGGTTTCTATTGAACTGACCGATGCCCCCAAACGTTCTGCCTGTGTACTAGGCTTAAACAAAATTCAGAAGGTTTAACCAAATCCCACAAAACAAATTGTACAGAGAAGGTAAGATCCACACTTTTTTTTCTTTTTTAATATAATGGAGTAAATGGTTACAGTAAAGACACTTTCTACTCAAGAACATACAGTATTGCCAAATGTCTTTGAATGTAATTTTCACTGGGTGAACATCTGCCAATCCCTGCCAAAGTGTACTGTGCAGATTGTAAATTGTACAAGAAACTAAAATCTAGTTTAACTCTTACAATTAATTGGACAAAGGATCAAAAGCATGTTCAAGGGTTATGTGACAAAGCAGATTTGAGCAGGGGCGGACTGACCATTTGGAAACTCAGGCACTGCCCGGGGTCAGTAGGGGGCCTCATGAGATGCCCCTGGTACCCCTTCTTTTTTTTTTTTTTTTTTTTTTTTTTTTTTTTTTTTTTTTTTTAAAAAATATAGGCTTTTTTGAGTTTGGGCAGGGACACGGGCCCCATGATCCCCCTATTGCTCAGGGGCCCCATGAGTTGTCAGTCCGCCCCTGGATTTGAGTGATAATTCACATCCACAATTTTATTAACGGAACACGCGTTACAGATGTTTACTTTCAAACCTGTAAACTGCTTAAGCAGGTTCAGGCTCGTAGATTTATAGATGAGCTTATCACCTTACCTTACTTATACACAAGCCTGGTAGGATCATTCTTTTAATTTTTGTATCAGATTTATAGATGAACTGGGCTAAAGTTGGAGGAAATGACAGGTATGTGAGAGGGAGAGCTTGACAGTGAAACGTGTAATGTCAAGGTGTTAATGGTCCTGTATAGAATGTTAACCAGAGGTGAGAAGCACTAGGAATGTAGGGCAGCTGTACAACAAAAGGACAACCAGAGTAATGAATTGGTTATGTTGGCAGATAACTCATGCCTTGTCTGGAGATCTGAAGTCAAACCTGGGGACTTGAATAGATCTGATGCATGATACAGCATCCTCTTAGCCCACACATGCAGAAAAGGCTCCATACAGTCATTGTCTTCTGCCACCAGGTCCTCGGTATGCATGATCTCATTCCTTATGGCCACCCACATAGGTAGCACCTAAAGTATGTCTACTTTCATATGTTTTATAAAGCCTGGAAGCAGAGACCAGAGTGTAATCTCTGGTGTTTCTAAGATCTCTGGAGGCTGCACTGGACAGCAAGATTGGAAAATGCCAATCTTTAATGCCCTGGTAGAAAAGTGGTTAATGGACAAAGGTTAAAGTATTTGTGTACAGTGGGTTATACTGCTGCCTTCAGGAAAACCTGGACAAAAGGTAAGCGCTGTAAGTCCAGGATACATCCTCCCCACTGCCAGCAAGTGTGGTTCCCCCCCCACACACACACACACACACCACACACCTCCCCCCCCCCCCCCAGTTGCTGCATAACCACTGAGAAACAGCTGACCTAAAAAGCTGCTAAATGAATCCCAGTATATCCTTTGTGGCTAGAGCCTGCATCAGTCCAGGACCATAGTGCACCTGTCTAGTGGAATCCTGTCCTTGAAGACACCCTAGGGTTTATACCCACTGGGGGAGGATAGTGTTTAGCTGGAGTGTGTGCGCTCTCTGGATTTATTCTATGAAACCACCTGAATTGAATAATTCTGTCTCTACAAGCCACGAGTTGTGAAAAGCGGTAATCCCACATGTCCTCCCAATCCTCATCAATATGTGGAGCATCCATCAGCCACGTGGAGTGAAGACATGTCAACGTTTCCAGAGAGTAAGAGCTTTATACAGCACAGATAAGGGCTTGGACGAGGAGTCATCCCAAAGTCTTGGTTCACACCTATGCAGGGTATGTCTGTGTCATTTCTTTTCCCCTTGCTGCTAGGCAGATTTGACATGCATCAAAAATGCAATACATGCTTTTCTGCAGCATTTCCATTGAAGTCTATAGAAACAAAAATGCTACTTTTTGCGTTCAAAAAAAGTCCTTTACCCTTTCCAAAAAACACGCAGATGTGAACCTGTCCCGTAGGAAATCATATTAAATGGACTGTACTGTGTTTCTGCAAAACGATGCAGAAACCGCTTAGGCAATCTCTGATGTGGAAAGTATACTTACCCTAGGTTCTCACCTGAGTCCTGATAAATCCGTATAACGGTTAAGAATTTGCAAAGACTCGGGGGTCATTTTAACAAGAGCATTAAAATCATCAGCATATAATGCCAACTTTTCAACAATGGATCCCACTGACATTCCTATCAGCTGATCAGATTGTCATAGGGCCAGAGGCATAGGTTCTATTACTAGGGTGAACAGAGCTGGGTACAGGGGGGCAATCCTGCCTCTTGCCCCTCTCCACAGCAAAAGCCAGAGAGATAACCACTGAATTTATTTTGTGCCATGGGAGATTGCTAAAGAATATTATTCCATTTA